TGAGCAGGGAGCCCGATGCGGGACTCGATCCCGGGACTCCAGGATCATGACCTGAGCCGAAGGCAGTCGCTTAACCAACTGAGCCACCCAGGCGCCCTAGCTACTATTTTTCCATACACCTTTAGTTAACTCAAAAAAACCTAGTCATTTAAAAAAACAGACTAATTCTGTAATGTGCCTACAACTCATGCTATCAAACAACTTGCAAAAATTACTATTAAAAAGTCAACAGTAAAAACTTGAAATGTTAAATAAGCATTGTACTGAAAAATCTGAGTTTTCTTTTAATTCCATAATTACATTTTTCTACTGGCAACTACTCAGTACCTCCTGAAATTTCCAACTTACCTTAATCATCCTAAAGTATATGTGCAAAGAAGCAGCCATGACCCCAACATCTCTGTCACAAAGTGCTTTCCGAAACTTAATGTGAATATGCTGTACTTGATTAGGAGCAATGAGGTGGAATTTATATAACGCCAGAACAGCTTTTCTTCGTATAATCTCCCTAAAGATAAAAAATAAAATCTAAACAAACCATCTGACTTGTCATGCATTTAGTTTGAAAAGACTGTAGATGAGATGATTTTAAAGTATCAGTTATTACCTTAATATAAAAAGAAAGAATCATACATTCATTATTTCTTTATTCTAATCCACCAAACTATAAAAAGTGGTTATCTCCAGGAGGTAAGACCTCAAGAGACTAATTGCCCACATTATAAAAATCTTTAGTTACATAATTTTTGGTAACAAGCACGTATTTATTATTTTTGAAACCAGAACAAACAAGGAAGAAAAACAAACTCCTCAATTCCCTAATTCCACTTTTGAAAATCATCCTCTAGAAACTGGGAAAAAAATCAACAGTTCTAATCTATAAGAGGTAATTCTGCCTAGTAATATTAAACAGTCTCTTTATTATTATTGAAAATCTCATTAACATTCTACCTTTTAATATTTCTTTTTTTTTTTTAAAGATTTTATCTATTTATTTGAGACAGAGAGAATGAGATACAGAGAGCATGAGAGGGAGGAGGGTCAGAGGGAGAAGCAGACTCCCCGCCGAGCAGGAAGCCCGATGCGGGACTCGATCCCGGGACTCCAGGATCATGACCTGAGCCGAAGGCAGTCGCTTAACCAACTGAGCCACCCAGGCGCCCCTCTACCTTTTAATATTTCTTTTTCTGTACCATGGGCAAGCATATTCCAAATACTTTAGGGAGACAGGGCAATAGAAAGGGAGACTCACATTAAAAGATGTTACTCTTCCCCTTGCCCAGCTCATGTTTCAAAAATGTCATTACAGTGAAGAGGAAAGTAGGAGCACCTGGGTCTCACTGGGTTGAGTATCTGCTGTCAGCTCAGGTCATGATCTTGGGGTCCTGGGATCGAGCCCTGCATTAGGCTCCCTGTTCAGTGGGGAGTCTGCTACTCCCTCTGCCTCTCCCCCCCGCCACCCTCTCACTTGCGCTTGCTCTCTCTTTCAAATAAATAAAAACTTAAAAAAAAAAAAATGAAGAGGAAAGTATACACTAACCCTACACTTAATTTGTAACAGATAATGTCTAGCACACAAGAAGCAAAAATAACAATCCTATATTCTAATGTAATTTCCAAGGAGGTATATTCCTTGTTATTCTCACTCATGCCTATTTCTAAATATTTCATATTTGCAGGCTATGCTGGCAGTGCTCGTAACAGCAGCAAATGTCACAAAAGTGAAACATTTGCTTTTAGGTATTTCTGTTACCTTAAATCACAGAATCTCAAAATTGAGATTATTCAATGCAATCCTCTGTGTTCCAGTCAAGAATACCTTTTATAAGATTCCTAACAAATGTCAAACTTAGCTTCTTCTAAATTCCATTAACAAGCAACTCACTATCTTCCTAGCCAAACTATGCCATGATGGAAAATTATTTTTACAGAGAGAGCAAAAGCAGACTAACACAAGATTTGCCATTAATATTATTAATACTATGGTGGCTGTAAACTACATCTCAGTGTATTGCTATTGAGTGTTAACCAATTTCAGTTCTGAGAGAGAGTAGGTAAATGAAGTAAGATCAAAGAAGGCAAACACTCAACAGGCTCAGGAATCCACAGGCCTAACAAAAGACATCAGGAGACCTGGACAGAGGCTGGCATGGTGAAATTCGAAAGTCAAGTCCAAGTCACATCTTCTTTGTCACATCCACTGGCCTACCTATAGCTCTTACCCATGTTCTTCTGCATGGAGTTAGGCATGGCCATAACAGCAGAAGCAGAGTTTCAAAAAGTCTAACTGGTGGAAGACAGGAGAGGCCAGGTTTTGAAATTAGAGTACATGGGAAGTAATAAGGAAAAAATTCAGTTCTCAGAAGGATTTCATACAAACGCTCAGTATTTGATTACCACAAAAGAGTGGGGATATGGAAAAATTGCATAAAAATAATGCTCTGCTATGATCAGATCAACCTGTAATTATCTAAGAAAAATAGTATTTTATTTCCAGTAATTAATTGTCTATAGCCATCATTTGTTCTGAACACAGATCTGACATAAATAAAACACTAAAGCAAGTCTGAAAAGCCTATGAAGTTATTCTATAATTCTTAGTAAAAGCTATCATTTTAGCCAGAAGATTCATGGTCCAAAATTTCTGAAAGAATACAAATCATAAGACAACATTTTATAATCTCAGAATACTAAAAATACTAGCTTAAAGAGACATGTAAAATAAATATTGCATGAAAAACAAAATTATTAAGAATGTATATATAACTAAAATACTGTAATCACAAAAAAAAAAAAAAAAAAAAAGGAAAAAGTGATTGCAAACTTCTTCCTAGCCCTAAAGGTTATGAAGTTAAGAGCTTGGTTGAAAACAGAAAAAAAATGAAATAACAAAACAAAACAGGGGCACCTGGGTGGCTCAGTCAGTTAAGTGACTGCATTCCGCTCAGGTCAGTATCCGGGAGTCCTGGGATCAAGCCCAGCATCAGGCTCCCTGCTCAGTGGAGAGCCTGCTTCTCCCTCTGCCCCTCACCCTGCTTGTGCTTTCTCACTCTCGCTCTCACTCTCTCTCTCTTAAATAAATAAATAAAATCTTTAAAAAAAATAATTGGTGAAAAAGTAAGTCAAGCTGATAAAGAGAATTAATCTTATAAGATTAGCAAAATACTACAAGTTAAGGTTTATCTGGATATATAATTCTATAAAATAGAATTTGAACGCTGCAGTTTTGCTATGAAAGCAACCCCAATACATTGAAGCTCTGCATTCATAGTACTTGAACCACTGCCAGATTTTTTCCATTATTTCACTTTATCCTCAAAACAACTTTGTGAAAACTAACATGCTTCAACCAACCCGATATAGCCAAAGGAAAAACAGGACCACTGCTGGTTAGTGGTAGAACTGGCAGGAAAGCCACAGATTCCTGACACTAAACCTCACTGCCTCTCAGTTTAACTTTAGAAATCTGCCTGGCATTTTCTCGAACCCACATAAAATAAAGGACGATGCTATCAGGGATTTTTTGCATTATATCTGGCAGTCAAAGAATAGCCTCCACCCTAATAGCATTAAGTTAAAGTTATAATAAATTTTTTAGTTTGAATTTTTGTTTTGAAATATATAGTATAGCCACATATCCAAAAATAATTTACTTACTTAGAATGTTGAAGTTTATCTTCAATTAATGGAAGAACAGCTGGAATCATTTCTCGAGGGAAAATCTGGCTGACGATAGTAAGTGCCATACACACTTCTACCAGGTTAGTGCTCTGCAAATCCTGATGTAATGATTAAGCAAACAAAACATTCAGTGCAAATTCTGAAACTTGGGGTTAGTGAGTTCAACATGGCAATGGTCCTACATACTTAACAGTTTTCTACTAACTTTATAATTAATTTGTACATTCAGTATGGATCCTGGAGAAAAAGACAACAGCTGGAAAAGGGCATCTGACTAAAAGTCTTCAGAGATCTGCTTTCAAATGAAACCGTAATAACAGCAGCAGGTGCATGTTTCATTTAGCCCTTACAACTGGATTAAGTTCTATTATTAGCCTCATTTTACAAACTCAGAAACTGATCCAAAATATCTTTCTAAGCCCATTCTGTAAGCCTGGCTTCTTCCAAAAATATCTAATTCAATATGATTGAGGTGAAATGTCAGCTGCCTGGAAGGATAATTTAAGACTTCATATTTACCAACATACAATACAGTACCTTTACAACTGTATTCACAAGGAGAAGCAGCAGTTCATGATTTTCATGTAGAAATAAAGAAACAGCCAAATAACCTACAAAATTTGAGGGGAAAAGTCTCATTACCTGCCAAAAATGAACTTCTCCCAAGAAATTAAACAAAGCAATAATATATTCAAAAATTTAAGTGTCCAAGTTAACAGCTACTGGTAACTATAAAGACAGATTGCAAAATATGAGGTTCAAAAACTTCAGGAAGATTTCAGACGTTCTTTATCCTAAAATCTTTAATAATTATGTATCACAGGATATACCTGAAATGGAAAAGAAGCTATCTGTACCAACTTAAGGTCCTATAAATGACATAAGAAATATATGCCTTCTATCTTCTGTGCATATCTCTACACAATCAATCAAAATATTTTCTATCTTGTAGCCAAACATACAACTGTTCAAAATCTAATAGCTACTATAGTTACTAGGGAGTTACTGGCTATTTGTTATTATTGAATGAGCCACCTAATACCAACCTATACGGTGTAAATCGTATATTAAGCCATAAACAATACCCTATTTTCTCAATATGAAGATACACTATTGAAGGAATAACAGTTGTTGAGGAAAGAAGCACCGTCTACCACATTAAACGTAATCACTGATTTAAGTAAGCATTTTTATTTCAATATTAAAACATAAAAAGTACATCTTAGGATTGAGGAAATACATTAATACTATGACAGATGCCATGTACATGGACTCTAGATACTCCAAGTCATTTTCTTGTCACCCTTTCATACTGATAACATTTGTAAGACAGTTACTATGGGTCAGTACATTACAAGCCTTACCTCATCCAATCCTCACAACTCTATTAAGTATTATTATCCCCCAAAAGAACATGAGGCCCAAAAAGGGTAACTGCACAAAGTCTATGGCTATTACATGGTGGAGCCAACACTCAAACCCAGTCAGTAGGAGTTAGCTCATATTTTAATACCTATGCTGTCCTGTCTCTCCACACAGTCTACACTGAGGTCTTATTCCCTGACTTCCACCCTCATTGTTTTCCATTCTTCCCAATTCTTTCAGTCCTCTCATTAGGAATTCTAATGTCAACTGTCCCCATCATTATCCACACACTGTGTGTGTGTGTGTGTGTGTCTGCTGGGAATCATGGGAAAGCTGTTAGAAACTACCTATTCTCACAACCAAGAAGTAGCAGCATGAGACAGAAAAAAGAATATACCCAGGGGCAAGAAAGAATTGAGAAAAACCCTAGGGAGCATTTAAAGAGATTAAGTCTTATCAGATTGCTGAGCACTCATGTGATCAGCTACAGTATCACCCACACCCAAGTCACCAATATCAAGGTATGAGAAGATAAACAAATTCAAAGATCATCTCAAAAAAAACCTTAATTCTATCTGTTCTAAAAAATATCCTAACTATTTTGACACTCAGGATACAGGGGAGAGAATATTTGGTGACTCAAAAGATGAAAAGTTCCAAAAGACACAGAATAATGACTATGATTATGGAATATGTTTGAGATAAAAGAGTGACATACGGGATAAGAACACAAGCTTTGACTTATAGAAACTTGGGTTTACATTCAGGATCCACCATTTATTAGCTGTATGACCTTGGACAAGTGACTTAACCTTTCTGAGCCTCAGACTTCTCCTCTCTCGCAAGATAAAGCACCTAACATAATACCTGATCTAATGTACTGAAATGTATTTTATTCAACAATATTCCTATAAAAAATAAGAAGGTGTCTCCATCAGAGAAAGCACCAAAGCTATTCCTAGAAATCTCAGGAGAGCTGAAGAGGCAATAGCACCAGAGTGAAGACATACAGAAGGTTTAAATACTATCTTAAAAAAAACAACTTCTATTCATTAGCACACATAAAAAATGTCATGAGGGCGCCTGGGTGGCTCAGTTGGTTAGGCGACTGCCTTCGGCTCAGGTCATGATCCTGGAGTCCCGGGATCGAGTCCCGCATCAGGCTCCCTGCTCGGTGGGGAGTCTGCTTCTCCCTCTGACCCTCCCCCCTCTCATGCTCTATCTCATTCTCGCTCTCAAATAAATAAATAAAATCTTTAAAAAAAAAAAAAATGTCATGATACCTACAGATATATGTCCCTCTACATGGCAATAAAATATTTCCCTACGATCATAAATCTCAATAAAAATGATTCTGAGGTCTCTGTTAAAATTTCTATAACTATGAATAACACATGTACAAGGTTATTCACTGCAACATTATTTACAAAAGCAAAAAATAAAAAATAACCCATATGTCCACCAATAGAGACCTGTAAAAACTATGGCCTATCCATCCATCCAATGAAAATGATGCAACTGTATAAAAGTATGAAGATGTCTAAACAAGGTGTAGAATAATCTATATAGCCATGCTATCTTTAGTATAAGAGAGCGCGTTCGAATATACAGGTGCATTTGCTTGTTTTACAAAAAGAAACAATGGCAAGATTAATCAGAAACTAATGAAAATAGTTACCTATGGGAGTAAGGAACAAACTTAGTAAGGGTGGCTAGAGATAAAAGTGAGACTTCTTTGATTAAACCTTTTTATAAGGTCTTAACTTTTGAAAAATATAACACTTTATATATTTTTTAAATTAAGTAGAAAATGAAAAAAATTATATGAAAGTCTAAGAAGCACAACATAGCAACAGCTGTAAAAAATTAGAGCACCAACCATTGTTTTCAAAATTTCCCTGCCTTTAGGGATCTTAGAATTAGTTCGAGAGCTAAAACATTAATACATGAAAAGGCAACACCATAAGATGACAGATGGTAAAAGCCACCCAAGTGATCACAGAAGAGTTAAAACTTGATTTGGAATACAAAGAGGGACAGACAGGATGCCAGAGGACATTCCCCTTGGAGGGAAGAATACAACATATCTAGAAGAGTGGAGTGAGTTTCAATAAATAGAATACTGGGTGCACCTAGTCTCAGAATCTTTACCAAAATATCTCCCTCCCCCACCCCATCATCTGACAGAGGTGAATATAATTTGTGAAGAATGCTGGTCCTTGAAAACATGACACTATCAACTCCTCTGAATAAAGAACATGTTGTACTCCTATATTACTCTCACGTGTTTCCTTCTTGAATTCTGATACACAGCTGAACCTACGTGAGTAAAAGATTTAAGTCCTTAATTTATTTATTTTTTTTTTAAAGATTTTATTTATTTATTTGAGAGAGAGAGAATGAGAGACAGAGAGCATGAGAGGGAGGAGGGTCAGAGGGAGAAGCAGACTCCCTGCCGAGCAGGGAGCCCGATGCGGGACTCGATCCCAGGACTCCAGGATCATGACCTGAGCCGAAGGCAGTCGCTTAACCAACTGAGCCACCCAGGCGCCCCAGTCCTTAATTTAAAGGATATTTCCTAATAGCCCTAAAGGTTGATTAAAGAGACAAAACACTTTTTAAAAGATACCTCTAATCCTCACAGCTAACATTTATGAAACTAAAAACAGTATATTTAAAATTATTCAAGTCAATTTCAGTTTTTAATTCTATAAAGAAACATTTTTGATCATTAAACTGATGAGGTCAGACAGAATTTTAAATCAGCTTTATTGAGGTATAATTTACACACAAGAAAATTCACTCATTTTTTAAGTGTATGGCTTAATGAGTTTTGACAAATATAGTCATCTAACTATCACAAAAACAGGCAATTTTTAATCTTCTCCAAATTTCCAAAATGCTATGGATCAGTGAGACTGATTTCACTTATAGGTTTGAGTTTTTGAAGTGTTCTCTTCTAAAGCTTTGGAAATTACAAGGCAGTGTTCTAAAAACACACTATATACCCACCATCATTGATTTTACATAGCCGCCGGAACTTTAAGGGCAACATTAAGTATAAAAATCTTACACACATACATACCTACTCTTTTTTCTAAAAGGTTTCCTTGTTGTGCCAACTTGATTGCATGTATGTAGCCAAAGGAAGCGTCATATCCAAGCATTTCACAATATATAAGTCTCACCATACATTCCTTCATTATTTTCTGCAAAGCAAAATATCCAGTAACTGCATAAATAAATAGAATACTTTGATTTTTTTTAAATTATGTTGTAATCATTTCACAGGGAAATCCCTTAATCCTGGCATTGAAGAAATAAAACATACACATATTATAAATTCATAACCTGAAGTCAAATTTTATAAATAAAAGTTGCTCCAAAACTTAGCTTACCAAAAGTACTGATTATAGTAAAATTATTTTAACATTTTGTTAGTGGCAACATTATAAAATAAATCAACTGCAGCTATTTCTTTTTTTTTTAAGATTTATTTATTTATTTGAGAGAGAGCGTGCATGTGCGCAAGCAGGGTGAGGGGCAGAGGGAGAGGGAGCAAGAGACTCTTAAGCAGGCTCCATGCTCAGCATGGAGCCCAATGCCAGGCTCGATCTCACGACCCCAAGATCATGACTGAACCAAAATCAAGAGTTGGACACTCAACTGACTGAGCCACCCAGGCGCCCCAACTATAGCTCTTTCTAATTCTAGGTGTCCCTGTGTAAAATTTGGTTATAATATGAAACACATGGTCTTCAGACAAAATTTCACCCATCGTAATATGACTTGGCTTCTAGATTGGAGCACATCATTTTAATATACTTTGCCAAATGAAAACATCCATAAAATTCCCAAAAGTTGGTAATCATTTGTAAAGAAAATAATTTTTACATTTAAAAACCAAATTGCACCCAAACTTTCTTCAGATTTATTTTGCTGTACATAATATGCAATAGTTTGTTTTACAGGCATTCTTTTTAAATAACTCTCAGTTATCAGGAACTGAAGGGCATGGTATCATTAATAGTATTACTATTCCAATATTTAATTTTTTAACTGGGTCTTTCAATATTTACAACACAAGCTAGTAAGTTGTTTTAGGAGATTCTACAACTTGTTTTATTAGCATAATAATATTTGCATTCTCAATATTTATAGCAAATTTTAATCATAAATAAAAAATATAAATAAAATGTGTTTCAAAATAAGCCCACAGCCTATTTTAATATCTAAAAATTACCTAGGGTTAGTATATTACACAAAATTCAGGTCACTTACGTTTAAAGTAATAAAAGTTAATTCATTAGTATGTTAAGACTACTAAATACTGAAAAAAACAAGCTTAAAAGACACTGGAAGTTCTTCTTCAAAGGCTTCCACATCTGTGGACCCTGGGTGGCTCAGTCGGTGGGCATCTGCCTTGGGCTCAGGTCACGTCCCAGGGTCCTGGGATCGGGCCCCACGTTGGGCTCCCTGCTTAGTGGGGAGTCGGCTCCTGCCTCTCCCTCTGCCTCCCCACTCATGCTCTCTCTCATGCTCTCTCTCTCTCAAATAAATAAAATCTTAAAAAAAAAAAGGCCTCCACATCAATAAGGAGTGAAAGTATTCATCTAATCCATTAAGTATCATCCCTGGTTTTGTAACTTTTTTAAAAAAAGATTTTTTTATTATTATTATTTATTTATTTGACAGAGAGAGAGTGAGCAGGGGGAGCAGGAGAGGGAGAAGCAGGCTCCCCACTAAGCAGGGAGCCGGATGCGGGGCTTGATCCCAGGACCTTGGGATCATGACCTGAGCCGAAGGCAGCCGTTTAACCGACTGAGCCACCCAGGCACCCCAGTTTTGTAACTTTTTATCTCAGAGTCTTTCAAAGGTCATTATGAGATCTATTTAATTAAAATTATATTGCATACATTATTATTCTCCTAGTTTTAGAGAAGAAAGTCCATTCCCCAAAGCAGAAATTTTTTTTTACAATTTCTCTAACAAACTGTCATGCAACCTCTACCCAACCACCTCAGGAACAGACTATAAAGCATGCCCAGAGAGGCACCTGGGTGGCTCAGTTGGTTAAGGATCTGACTCTTGATTTTGGCTCAGGTCATGATCTCAGGGTCATGGAATGGAGCCCTGCATGGGATTCCATGCTGAGCGTGGAGCCTGCTTGAGATTCTCTCTCTCCTTCTCTCTCTGCCCCTGCCCTATCATGCTCTCTTGCTCTCTCTCTCTTAAAAAAAAAAAAAAAAAACGTGCCCAGAGTTGGATGTCCATTATTATTACAAAATCTTCCTTCTAAACTCTGGCTCCCTAACTTCTACCTATTTATCTTATTTCTCCAGATGTGTCAATTATAAAAAATGGAAATCAAACAAAGTAAAAGGAGAGATACCATTTCTGCTTAACATTTCTATCAAGTATCATGAATAAATACCACAATGATTTCATACATATACACACATATACATATCTAAACACACACACATATACATATATACACATAAATATACCAGATTAATTATGCTTTGAGCTTCATTTGTCCAAATATTTCTATGATCATAAAAGGAAATATATACATTCTCTTAGACTTTAAAAATGTTCAAGTCAAAAAATGGGCAAAAGACATGAACAGACACTTCTCCAAAGAAGACGTACAAGTGGCTAACAGACACATGAAAAAATGTTCATCATCATTAGCCACCAGGAAAATTCAAATCAAAACCACACTGAGATACCACCTTACACCAGTTAGAATGGCAAATATTGACAAGGCAAGAAGCAACAAATGTTGGAGAGGTTGTGGAGAAAGGGGAACCCTCTTACACTGTTGGTGGGAATGCAAGTTGGTACAGCCACTTTGGAAAACAGTGTGGAGGTGCCTCAAAAATTTAAAAATAGAGCTACCCTATGACCCAGCAATTGCACTCCTGGGTATTTACCTCAAAGACACAGATGTAGTGAAAAGAAGGGCCATATGCACCCCAAAGTTCATAGCAGCAATGTCCGCAATAGCCAAACTGTGGAAAGAGCCAAGATGCCCTTCGACAGATGAATGGATAAAGAAGATGTGGTCCATATATACAATGGAATATTACTCAGCCATCAGAAAGGATGAATACCCAACTTTTACATCAACATGGATGGGACTGGAAATTATGCTAAGTGAAATAAGTCAAGCAAAGAAAGTCAATTATCATAAGGTTTCACTTATTTGTCAAACATAAGGAATAGCATGGAGGACATTAGGAGAAGGAAGGGAAAAATGAAGGGGGGAAATCAGAAGGAGAGATGAACCATGAGAGACTATGGACTCTGAGAAACAAGGGTTTCTCAGAGAAACAAGACTCTGAGGGTTTTAGAGGGGAGGGGGGTAGGGGGATGGGCTAGCCCAGTGATGGGTATCAAGGAGGGCACGTACTGCGTGGAGCACTGGGTGTTGTACGAAAACAATGAATCGTGGATCACTGCATCGAAAACTGGTGCTGTATTGTATGGTGACTAACATAACATAATAAAATAATAATAAAATAATAAAAATAACCCCCCAAAGAAGAAATGTTATTCATGTACACTATTGTGTTCATGCAAAATGATGATCACCCCTATATTTTTATTAGAAGAGGGAGAATACTCCCACAGTGACTTACACATAGAAGGCACTCACTACATATTAGCTGAATAATGTTTCTTGGCAAAATCTCATTATATGAAACCACATGAAAATTTAAAGGAAAAAACTTAGATCTTAATCTAACTATGTAGGGACCTATGTGGTCTGCATATAGTGGCTACTCACTAAATAGCTGCTAAAAGAATGCTGTTTGAGAAATCAAGTTATATGGAACTCAAGTTCTAAAATAACTGGAACTTGATTTAGCTGTTATGCAATACACTGTTTTACAGCAAGAAAACCATTCTTCTACCTCGTTCACCTATATTCCAAGATGTAGAAGAGTAAAATGAGAGATCTATAATATACCAATTCAGGACTGAAAATATTACCTTAAATGATATATCGTAACCTTTTCCCAGGGCACAACATTAAAACAGTAAGATCAGCACTGGGGTCCCATGAGAATTGCCACATTTATGTAATTATCATCACGTTGGCATTGAACTGACATCACTCAAGCAAATCTTGCTCTGGTGCAGCCAGTCAATAATAAAAAGCTTAAGCTGATGTCTGACTTGCTACCATCCATAACTGATTGTGACTATGATAAATTAGATTTTAGCAACTGATCAATTAGACGCCACTACAGACTCCATAGTGGACCAGATTTCAAATATAAAATGTACTGGCACTGACTATGCAAACTTACCAGTGTTGTTGTAGGAGCAGAAACAGTTGCTTTCAGATTACTCAGTTCCTGCTGGATTAGTTTCTCTTCCTCCTAAAAAAGTGAAAGTATTTAAATGCACGAATAATGGTTTTTTCAAACTATAACAGTATTTCTTAAAAAGAGAAATATACTTCATAATACTTTCAACAACAACAACAAAAACATTATTTTAAAGGACAGTTCTAAAAATTACGTGCTTAAGATTAGCCTAAAGGCATTGCTCCAAACCCTCCCAGTCATTCCTGGAAAGAATAATCCACCATTCCTCTTTCCTTCACTTAATTACTGTCACCTCAAGGACAGTTTAGCAGAAAATATTTTGTTTTGTTTTGTTTTGTTTTGCTTTGTTTTGAATTAAAGGTGGAGAGAAAGAAGAAATTTTTCATGTACTGGTCCAGGATAAGGTTCTCACACCTTGCCTTTAAGAGTAAAAAATCCTGGGGCACCTGGCTGGCTCAGTCAGTGGAGCATGTAACTCTTCATCTTGGGGTTCTGAGCTTGAGCCCCACATTGGGTGTAGAGGTAACTTAAAAATAAAAAGATCTTAATAAATAAATAAAAGTAAAAAGTCTTCATAGAAAAGAGAAACAGGGAAAGAAGGAAGAAATAGAAATCAGTTTTCTTCCCTTAAGCTATACTCTTCCCTCTTGTTTTCTCATTCCTCATATCCTTTTCCTCACTTCTCATCTCTCTCTCATACACACAACAAATACACCAATGTGATTACTTCTACTGCCTGCATTGAATTTCATCTCCTTAGCACACTTGAATACTGGCCCCATCTTTGGCTAACATAATGCTATCTTTAAATTACATAATGAATCAGCAGATGTCCATTAGGTAGCTTACTCAAGAACTACTCATGAGGTTCTGCCACATTTAGATATCTTATGTACAGTTTCAAATGCAATTTAAGACCAAAAATAATTTAAAAAAAAAATTCACTCAGAATCTCACAGAAATTAGTAAAGGACAAAATGTTAAGACAAACAGTATCATGTCCATAAATAATGATTTCTGAATGTGAAGCAGAAATACAGCATCCAGCAGAGCATCATCTTATTTCAGCTTAAAAACAATGTTTTAAACCCCAAGGGCACTTTGAAGAAAATCCTTCTCCCTGTCATTCCTTCCCTCTGGGCACTTATATGTCATTGTATATTGCTATACCCGTCTTAAGCCCAAGATGAAGGACCAATTCCTTGGGGAAAAGAAAATTTGTTTTACTCTTTTTCGTCAGTGTCTAACACATAACCTCTTTCATAAATTAACTTTTGAGCAAATTACGACATAACAAAGTATCTTACACAATCCGTTCAACTATCAAAGTTTGTGGAAACTTAATACTTTCTAATATAACTAGTCATTTTCAAAGCCCATCTGAGGCTGAGATAACAAATTTTACATTTTGGGAGAATTAACGCTTTTTCTTTGCCCACCCGGTTGGTCTAACCTAAGAACCTCAAGCTCCCCAAAGACGCTGAACAACAGGTTCAGAGGGCAGGGTCTGTTCCGGTGTGTGAAAGAACTGGAGAGAAAGAACCTGTAAAGAAACTTTGTAGAAGGTAAACAATGCTGACACTCCCACAGCTCTCGGTATTTTCACTCGCTTGATGGCTCATCTCATCCTCGAACAACCTATGGAATACGTATTGGTACTTTTCCACTTCAACGTTCAGGAAACACACGGAGACTCAAAGATTAAAGAGACCAGCCCCGGATAATAATGACTCAGTGTCACGGCCAACTGTGGAAACTCGGCCTCCCAGCTGTCAGTCCGGGAAGGAAAGTGACGCTTCCAGACAGACGCAAGGACCGACTGACACACACGCAGTCCGTAAGCCCCGCCGGAGGGCCGGCCCCGGGGGCTCGCCGCCGGACTCGGGCCTCCCAGCGCCGGGGGCCTCCGCCCCGCGCCCCCGACTTCCCGGCCCGGCGAGCACGTACGTGCTTGGAGGTTAGCGCGGTGATACCGCGGACGAGGCCGCCCAGCCGCGAGGAGAAAGACGTCTTGACGCCCGCGGGCCCGCCAACCGACTGGTTCTGCAAAAAGAGTCCCGGCAACGCCGTCAGCGTCTTCTCCACTATGTCGCTCATCGCCGCCGCCGCCACCGCCCGCGATCTGGTGGCCGCCCGGCTTCATGCCCGGCCCCTGCCCAGCCGCCGGCCCGGCCTCCGTAGACACTTCCTGTTTGTTTGAAGAAGAAATCTTTATTCGCGTCCAGCGTGGACAAGGACAGTGTCGTTCTCGAGAGAGGCCGCCCGAGGGCGCGAGAGTCCGCGCGGCGAAGGGCGGCTAGCCCGCCGGCGCGCCGTGGTGACCTCCTGGGGAGGAATAGAAGTACCGCACGGTCCGGTTTCGACGGCAACCCCGGCGTCTCACACCCGGTCCCTCTTAAGGTAGCCGCTGGGGCCGGTCCCTCTCACGCTTCGCCCTCCAAGGTCTCCTTTTCCGTTTAGACGCCTCCGCGCCGCGCGAGACCGCATCGGGAGGCGCACGTTGCTGGCCCCCATTCGGCCTCCGCTCCCAGGCTGCGGGACTGCGGGCAATCCGCCCCCACCTCCCTCCACCCGCACCCCGAGGGGCGGGACGGCCCGGGCCCTGAGGGAGCTGGTTACACTGGCGGTGTCGAATGACTGCGCGGCTGTCCTGCGGCTTCCTCACGCCGGGGTGTCGCGGTCACTGCCGCTTCCTAACCACCCCTCTTCTCCGGGGATTTGGAGACCAGTCGGGAAGGGGAAGGAAGTGGTCGCGAGGCCACCCCCGCCCCCGGCCGACTGCGCGGCAGATGAGGCTAGGTGTTCCTGCCCTACTCGCAGCCAGCGCTCCCTCCTTTCTCATTTCAGAGCTGATCACAGTGGCCACTACAGAAATACCTTATCTCCCTGTGGAGGGGATAGTTTATCAATTGCTGTTACCCCAGCTTCTACCTAGAACAGAATCTAGTACAGTGGTTCTCAAAATGCGGTCTGGTGACCTCTGAGGGTTTCTGAGACCCTTCCAGGGGATCCACGAAGTCAAAGCTCCATGCCTAATACTACTTAAATGTTTGCTCTTTTCTCTCTCATCCTTTAAGGAGTATACAGAGAAGTTTTCAAGAGGATAGTTGACTTAAGAGCTTTGTTGGCTGGTGAAATGTGTGCTTGAGTACTCCTCTGTTTTCTGGAACCTTCTAAGGCTTAGGGTATAAACATGTGCGCTTTCAGAGATTAACTGTTTTTCCTTAGTACTTCTAGCTATATTCTTACAAGCTATCTTCCCTTACACCTAATCTCTGTAACCCCATCAATCACCCCCCCAATAAATGGCTTTTTGAAATCCCTAAACTGTCCTTGCACCTATGAAGAAACACAAGAAAAAAGTTTGTTTTGTCGACTTGCTTTGCAAGAATAATTTTTAATTTATTGAAAAAGTTTCTAGATGTTTAAATTTTATTTAAAACTGTTACTCTTTTAGAATTTAATATTTTATTCAAAATAAAATTTTGTCTCTACCCTTTTTAACTTTAGGTTCTTTCGTTGGCTTACAAAAGGGAGATTAGAAGACTTGCTTTCTCAATCTTCCCACATCTAAAGATGCTGAAAAATATGACATTGACCTCAATATCAGAGGATTCTCTGACTCAGGTAAAGGGAAGAATCTGGGCGAAACTGTAAGAAAGGAAAGGGAATTGAATGTTTTAAACATAGTAGGCTCTTTAAAAGTCAGAGCGTTTTTGTTACTTTTCAAACCAGAAATGAAAAACCCACTGAAGCATCGTACAGGTTAAATTATTGTGTTGCACTGGCTGCAAAAGGGCAAATGATAACTGAGAGACTAATAAAGCCTGTACATTACTCAGGAAATGCCTGCTGGATGAAAAATCCATCAAAGAAATCATGGCCAAGCTACTTTCCATAGATGCGGTAGCTCAATAAATTAGAAATTTAGTTGCGGGGTGCCTGGGTGGCTCAGTTGGTTAAATGTCTCCCTTCAGCTCAGGTCATGATCTCAGGGTCCTGGGATAGAGCCCCGCATCGGGTTCCCTGCTCAGCGGGAAGCCTGCTTCTCCTTCTCTCTCCCACTCCACCTGCTTGTGTTCCCTCTCTTGCTGTCAAATAAATGAATAAAATCTTTAAAAAAAAAAAAAAGAAGAAATTTAGTTGCAAATGTAAAGTCTTTGATAACATCTCATCTGCAAAATTATATTTCCTTGAAGATGAACAAAAAAATTATATAAACATAGATGAGATGTAAGCTAGGCTTGTTGCTTTGCTTGTATCTATCCAGTGTCAGCACTAATACTTAAAGATCTTTTATAAAATGCTTGGCAATAAACACAAGTAGTGCTGAAATAGAGCACTGACCAATTTTTTTAAAGTAAGTTTATCCTGGAACAACTGTGCTAATATTTGCACTAATGGTATAAAAGCAAAATTGGGCAAAACTGCTGGCATCTTGGCACAAATCAAGGCAGAGGCTGCAAATTGTACTCTTCACCACCATACACTCCCATTGGGGGAGGGGGAAAGCCAGTTTACCTTAGAATATCTTTAATAAAGCAATAAGAATTCTTAATTTTGTTAAATCTCGACCTCTCAGTAGATTCCTTTTATTTTTTTTTTTAAGATTTTATTTATTTATTTGACTAAGAGAGACACAGCGAGAGAGGGAACACAGGCAGGGGAAGTGGGAGAGGGAGAAGCAGGCTTCCCGCCCAGCAGGGAGCCAGATGCGGGGGGGGGGGGCTTGATCCCAGGACCCTGGGACCGTGACCTGAGCCAAAGGCAGACGCTTAACGACTGAGCCACCCAGGCGCCCCAGTACATTCCTTTTAAATACAGTGTGTGACAAAACTGGAAGTACACATCAAGCAGTTCTGATGCACAACCAGGGTTCCTCAGGGAAAAGCACTTGTGAACTCGTTTGACTTGAAAGCTGAACCAGCCACTTTTCTTCATTTATTAACAAACAGTAGCTTTCTTGAAAATGAACAGCAAGTCTGTCACTTCAAGGAAAATAACTGAATTTGTTGCCACTGATAAAATTTAAGCTTTCATGTGAAAATTACAGTTTTGAAGAATGTGTTTCTACCACCAGGAGTTTTATAATTTCCCAATATGTGAGAACTGTTTTGTGAAGATTGGAGGTGGTATTAATGAATGTTATTTTTTGATCATATATAATTAAATGTGTCCGCATTTGGAAGATCTTTATAACTCAGTGAACCAGTATCTTCCAAATGATCAGTGCATGATGTTATAAAATTATGAATGGACGAAAGATCCATTTAAAGTGCCTATAGCCCAGTGATTTTAATGTAACCCAGGAGAAAAATTCACTGATATGTTTTCAAATTCCACATTGCAACAAACCTTTAAGAGACTATTTCTTGTTAAATTTTGGTGTTGTACTAAAGAAGAATATCCACAATTATTTGAAAAGGCTATAAAAATACTCTTTTTTTCCCAAACTGCGTATCTGTGTGAGACCAGATTTTCTTCATAAACATCAAATCGGCTGATAATGGCTCCCAAGGGTATGTCCACATCCTAAGCCTTGAAACCGGTGAATAGTGAAACTTGTGCTGGTGGGACTGGGTTAAGGATCTTGAGATAAAGAGATTATCCTGGATTATCCCAGTGAAGCCTACATGCCATCATAAATGTCCTTATAAAAAAGAAGCATGAGGAGATTAGCCAGCACACAAAAGAGCAGTTGATGCAGAGATAGGGGAAGAGACTGGCTTCATTCCTTCCAAATGAACGTGAGCAGCCACCAGATTCTGGAAGGGGCAAGGAGAGAAGTTCCCTCTGGAGCCTCTGGAGGGAGCACTTCCCTGCCACACCTTGATTGTGGCCCAGTGAAACTGATGTAGGACTTCTGGCCCCAGAACTGCAAAAGAACATATTTCTGTTGTTTTGAGCAGCCAAGTGTGTGGTAATTTGTTACAGCAGCCCCAGGAAGCTAATACAAACCCCAAAGCAACAGATTAAATAAAGAACCAGGCATGAGAATCCAGCTGTTTTATGTTAAGCCTGACAGTAAAGAGATTTGCAAAATTGTGAAACAGTGCCATTCCTCTCCCTAATTCTTTTTGTTCTGAATATATAGCTGTTTTTCGTCTTTTTAAAGTTATTAACATATAATGGGTCTATTTTTTGCTATTTTAAAATTAATTAATAGTTCAAAATTTTCTGTTTATTTTTTAATTTAGTAAATATATTTAGACCCTCCTCCCTCTCATGCTCTCTGTCGCTCATTCTGTCTCAAATAAATAAAAAAAAAAAAGGGCGCCTGGGTGGCTCAGTTGGTTAAGCGACTGCCTTCGGCTCAGGTCATGGTCCTGGAGTCCCGGGATCGAGTCCCGCATCGGGCTCCCTG